CAGGAGTGGATCACTTCCACTCATCTTTGGGTGACAGAGGCTGGGGTTGCGGTTACAGGAATTTCCAGATGCTCCTTTCATCACTGTTGCAAAACAGCTTGTATAATGACTGCTTGAGAGGTATTAAAATAAATGCTGCCTATTTGTCTCGTGTACCTCAAATGACAACCTTCTGATTGATGTTTTGCCTTTTCATTGACCCAGCAAGGCTTGCTGGGTCAATGATACCTATTAAATGCTTGTTATACCACTGGAATTTACTGTGGAAAGAATCAGAGCTGAATACTGGCAAGGCATGATGTGGTTGAAGTTTTAGCTTTAGTTTTTTTGGTGCATCTTTGTAACATCAGCTGGCTCTTGTAAAAGCAGCTGAGTAATTTTAATTAATAGGCTATTTCAGTAACTGTAATAACAATTCAAAAGCTTCTCTGTTCCAGATACTGCACTAATTCCTAGTATACCAAAGATTCAGTCCATGATTGAAGATGCCTGGAGAGAAGGCTTTGATCCTCATGGGGCATCTCACTTCAAGAACAGATTACATGGTTCCAAAGCATGGATAGGAGCATGTGAAATTTATTCACTGTTAACCAGTCTCAGGATAAAGTAAATACTGCTTTTTTGTTGTTGTTGTTATTTTTAAGTTTCGATTTAAATGCTGTACCTTTAAAGGTCAGAATTGCCAACTGTGTGATGACAAAGCCATCTTAGTGGCTTTAAATATGACCAACGTATAAAAAGATCTGATTTAGTGCAGCATAAAGCTGTGTAACTACTTTTGCAGGTACATAAACTGAATAGCTACTGAGATCATTGAGACTTGGTGAAGAATTATGGTACATATGCATAAAATCAAACGTTGGTTAAAAAATTAATTTCTCTGGAAGTTTCTTCTCAAGAAGAATCTGAATTTCAGCTGTTCACTGCACTGGCATAATTCAGAAAGCTCTTAATTGGATTCTCTAGTGTATGTGTATCACGTACAAAAAAATTAAACATTTTAATTTTTGCAAGTTTCACAAGTTCTTGTTAAAATGAACAGAGTAAAGTGTTTCTTTGTTATGGAACAAAGCTTCCAATTTTGAACAGTATTGGATTGTTTTGTAATTATGTGTCCCCTACTCCTGAATTATTAAAAAAAAAAAAAGTGGCAATGACCACTAGATGCATGGAATTGCTGTGATTATGTGCAGGAGGAAGGGACTGAGAAGTGAAAAAATTGCTTTAACAAACAACCTACTTGAAATTTTATTGTTGCTTTCATTCTAAATGTTCTGTAGGTGCCAAATCATTGACTTCCACAAACCGACTGGCCCTATGGGTACACACCCTCGTTTGTTTGAGTGGATTTTGCGTTACTATTCTACAGATAATGAAGGTGCTGCAAAGGTGGTGTGTACTTCCAAACCACCTATCTACTTGCAACATCAAGGTCAGTATCACAAGATGCTGGTTTCTTACTATTCTCTTCTTTATATGTGTTTTAATTCAGAGCAACATTTTACATTCCTTCTTCATTTAATTGAAGACATGGCTTTATTTCCTGTTATTTTTTTTGTTAAGAGCAACATTAAAGTTTGTATTTTTATTGAATGGAAGAGGTGGATGTGATTGGGATCTCAACTTTTTGATATCTGCTATTTATTTATAACTATCTTATTAAATTTCACATAGTGTTTTGATCTGAAAATAAGTAGTGTGCTACGACGAAGTAAATGGGATTTATGTGTTTTTAAAATACTGAAACTCTATTTTGAAATTAGGTCATAGTCGTACTGTTGTTGGAATAGAAGAGAAGAAGAATAAAGCCTTATGTTTGCTACTGTTTGACCCGGGGTGTCCTTCTCAAGAAATGCAGAAACTGCTAAAACAAAACAGTGATGGTACTAATCTCAAACTGCTTCGGAAATTTGCGGGTAACTTGAAAGAAAAGCAATACCAGATAGTGGCTGTAGATGGTGTACTCTCATTGGAAGAGAAAGCTGTAAGTATTCTGGAAAGTAGTTTCTGTCTAAGAACATATAAGACAATCTGCATTTCTTCTTTAATACTCAAATGCATATGCATATATAGTTTTGTGATTAATGTTTTTTCATCTTTTTACTTTCCTCATTCTTCTTCTCTGTTACTTTCTGATTATTCTTTGTGAATTGAGTAATCACAGGATATCAAAACCAAGAAAGTTTTGCATGTAAATGCATGCCACCTTGATGTAACTGGCAACTTCTAAGTCTTTTATGAAGCTTGCAGCTGTCTTCAGTTATGAATTAGTCTTTTTCTTTTTCTTAAAATATTTTCTCCTAAATAACTTATTGTGGGCATATAACATACTTATAATTTTGGACTATGAATGCTTTCTGTGTAGGGATTTTTATTGCAACTTTGTAAAGCTACGTGGTATCTATCACCCTTTGACAGTTGAAGAACAAGGTGTACAGATCCTGAGGCCTAACCATCCAATGTCTCCTCAACTTGGACTCTAGAACTAGTGCATTCTGCTTTCTTAAAGTACTCAGAACTTCATATATTCAAAACACGGCCCTAAGCAACTTACATGCTTGAGCTGTCAACGTTTTTATAAATCCTATCCACGTTTAACTTTGATCATTGTAACTTTTTAAGACCTTAGAAGTTTTCAGCTGAATGTCAGGTGTAATTTTTGTTTCTTAAGCTTTCTCTTTCCTACACTAACAAATTGATTCTGAAGAACCATTTTTCAATTCTGTGGTATCCTGTCAGCACTGTTCAGCATGCTGAAGCTTCAGGATAGACTTTTATTTAAACTATGTTATAACTGATGACTGAGTCACCTGCACAACTGTATTTAACAGCTGTATATTGAAATGAAGTAAAGTGTTCTCTGGATCTGAGCATGTCAGAAATAGTGGTAAAACACAGCTAACCTCTTCCTCCTCCTGGCAAGAGCTTTACAGTTCAGGACATAGTAAAAGGAAGAG